TCATAGTCCTGTTCAACATGAAAACACAGCATATAGAAGCTGACGGTCAATTTTTTTTTTTATTAAAGAAGAACTCGAAGTTGAGGTGATTTGTATGTGTCATATAGACTAAGAAACAACCAGAAGATTTTCTAAGTTTTTCAGAAACAGCAGTTTGAATCTTTGTATACATAAGCTGCAGAGACCAATACTTTATGATTCAATTGAAGTTCTAAAAAGTTTAGATTTAACTCCAAGTTGGCTAACTTGATGGACTGTATACGGGAGAAGTTTATCTTCCAGTACTTTTAGCCGTTTATCCCTATGTAATCACTTTGTTAACCGGAAAAGGTTTTATTGTGAGAAATGTTCTGGAAAACAATGCCAAAAGAATGAACACATAGTCATGAAAGATAAGCCCATTAAATCATGATATTTCATGGACTGCAAATTTAAGCACAAATTAAATTACTGATACTAAAGATAAGAGGCAAAGTATCCATAAAATTTCTCCCGGAAGGCATGACACGCCATAAAGAAAAATTACTCATCTATTACCTATCAAGAAAGGGCATGAGAACGTAATCATGAACCACGAAATCCAATGCCCATGGTACAATTATTAAGACTGTAAGAAATTTTGCCTGCAAAAGTTCAAAAAGGTATTAGCTTAGAATAGGAAAGGTTTCATTCTGAGAAACAATATTCAAACCAGTGATTTCAAAGTGCAAGTAAGTTCCCTTTTCAATGCTATATTTGAAAGGAGATCTAGTGATCCACAAGTGTGAGATCAGTGCTACTTGGGTTAAAGTGGTGATTTAACTCCTATTCTATCTAGGACTTCTTTTGAAGTAGTATAATCCAGAGAAAGTATCTTGGGAACATATCATTGAGAAGATCGGTCTAGTTGGAAACTTCTCAACATTTCCCGAGGTGGAAGGCTAACTCTTAACAAGTCATTTACTTTCCAGCCTTCCTTCAAATTCTCAGGCCTAAAAAGTTTCATATGGAGATGGAATAAAAATGAGTTTTTTCCGTTTGGAATTAAAAAAGGTTTCTATGCTAATTCTTTGCAAGCCAGAAAGTTCTGTAAGAGGTTATTCAATCGCTGGATTTTGTAGTTTTATAGCTCATTTGGCAGTCTTCCTCAGGAACGGGGGCGGTGGCCAAAAACAAGTACTCCAAGATATCAAACTCCAAACCCTAACAGCTCACAAAAATTCCATAACGTGAGAAACAAAATATGAGAGAATACTTGTATATAGTTCATACTATCCCATCACTGTAGTTGCATATAATATAGTCATACATGGAAACCCTGAATTAATAAATATAGTGTAAGATAACAATAAAAAAAAAAAGACTAATAACCACCTTTGCACGCTATAACAAGTCATCAAACATAATATTGTGTGACACAGCAAGGGCAAGCAATGGACTTCAAGTGTCTTCCAACAGGAGCATAAACACTTTGGATAGAAATATAGGGCACATAGGTGAGGTGTAGCACTTCTTCCTAGGGCAATTATATGACCGTGGGTTTCCACAGGCATGATCAATGTTGTGTCAATTGAGGGCTCAAATGGATAGAGATCTAGGAAAATCCTTTCATAGTTAAGCAAGTCTCATGAGGCATTCAAATAAAAGTGTCTTCAAGCAAGCAACAATAAATAAAGCCATAAAGGCATTCCATATCATGTTGAGTGTACAAAGGAGGCAAGGCTATGTCGGTTAGGTTTTTGGCACAAAGAGGCAAGACAACTTTGGATTTCAGGCAAGTATCTACCTAAAATAATGCATGAACAAGGAGAATATAAATAAGCAATCAAATTATAAGGACAAGAAAAGGCTAAGCCAATGATGAGCAAAATGTTTAAGACAAACACTAGAAATACATGTTCTATAGACTCCATCAATGCAGAAAAAAACTTGTCACAGGCCAACAGAATCATGAAATAGTGTTACAGTGTGAGAAGCTTTCAACAAGCCATAATGAGAGCTTGATAGCTTCTACAAGAGATTGTTAGGCTGCTAGAATACCACTAGCAGTCAGAACCAGTCCATTTAGGGATATAACTGTTAGGAGTCACGGATCTCCATAATGGTACGTATTGTCCACTTTGAGCATAAGCTCTCATGACTTTGTTTTGGGCTTCCCCAAAAGGCCTCATACCAATGGAGATGTACTCCTTACTTATAAACCCATGATCATTCCCTAAATTAGCCAATGTAGGACTCTCTCCCAATAATCCTCAACAATAACAAATTGCATACATGTGCTTACCGAATTGAATGAGGCATACTGGAATACACGGTCCTCATAGAGCATGTCATCTTCTTCCTGCCCGAGAACCAAATCTCTGACTGACTCAACAAGTCCCTTCTCAGGAACTAACTCGCCAGCATCCGACGATTCTTTATTCAATTCCCCAAGACCATTGTCCCAATCTTGACTCCATGAAGATCGAACATGATCTGCGTCATCATAAATCCAATCAGTCCACCTCTTCCCCTGTTCATTCCTCACATCTTCCTGTGCTTCCTTCAATTCAGTAATGGCCTCAGCCCTCTTCTTCCACGCCTCAAATTTCTCATCATCAGAAAAATCTTCCTCACTCGCAACACTCTCCAACTCATCCTCCAACATGCCATCATCCTTCAAGCCCAACCAATTTCCATCGTCATCAAAGAAAAACTTCTGCCACCAACTCCTCTTTCTCGAAAACCCATCATTCTTCTTGGCATTAAGAACATGCCGATACCGAACGAATCCTCTTCTCTTTCGAGCCACTTTACCAAAGGAATTGCACGAAGGGAAATTGAAAACACAAGACGCCTTGCAGTCAAGACAGATTAACTGGGGGCGTAATGGAATTAACGTGCTCATCAAGAACATATGCATTAACCAACATTTTTCAGCTTCCAAAAACGATGATCATGCACGCTAATGAGAAGAAATCAAAGAAATGAAACAAGGGATTGTTCTAGTCTGTCGCTAATCTAATTCACCATGTCCATAATCCAAAAAGAAACTCGTAAGAACAGAATTGAAAGCGATGATGAAGAGGAACTCAGCTCGGCATTGTGGATTGAATCAGAAACGGAACAAAAACGTTTGGCGAAAGTTCTTCCCTCCCGTGAATCCGCTTGGACTGAAGCTCTGGAGGAGCTTAGAGAGAGTCTTGAAACTCAGAAGTAAGGATAACGGTAGTGGACACGTAGCTACATCTACAGATAATTCCACAATTACAGAATTGATTATAATTTGTGTATATATATATATATATATATATTTTACAATTTTATTTTAAAATAATTAATTTTGATATGATTAAATTTTAAATTTGATAAAAAATATGATTATAGTATTTGGTAAAATAATATAAAATTTGTTATATATATATATATATATTTTTTTTACAATTTTATTTTAAAAAAATTAATTTTGATATAATTAAATTTTAAATTTGAAAAAAAAAATATGATTATAGTATTTGGTAAAATAATATAAACTTTGTTATGTCTAAGACATGTGATTTAAAGTATATTTATATTGATATTAAATGTCTATTTTATTATAAATTAGTTTTTTTAAAACTTTATATTATTAAAATATGGTGTTTTTATTTAATCTAAAAATTGATTAAAAAAAGAGTATGATTTTTTATGGATATAATAATAGTTGAGAAAAAATGTTTAAAAATAATCGTCGCCTGAGAGATTCGAACTCTCGCGGGGAAACCCCATGTACTTAGCAGGCACACGCCTTAACCACTCGGCCAAAGCGACTTGGTTGTAGGCTGATTGAAAATAATTATTAATAAATATTATTTTTACGTTTTTTACCCTTTTTTGCAATGAAAAAAGCTTAATATATTTATATAAACGTTCAAATTTTTTTCTTATCGGATAAATAGTTAATATTATAAATTCTGTGCTAATTAATCTCTTGCCGGGATTTTTTTTTTTTTTTACAAAATTGAACGGTAAAATTTCTATATTTTTAATAATAAATCTATAAATTTAAAATATCAAGATTTTTTTTTGACACAAATCGAAAAGTTTAAAATATATAGTTTATATATAGTTTAAAATATATTCCATTATACAATTGGAAAAACGACGAAATATGACAAAAATATCGCTTACATACGAAATTTCAACTTAAAATATTTCTATTTGACAAATATTCACTAATATAATTTTCATAAAATATATACCTGAAAAAGAAAAAAAAAATTAGAAGTTCAAATCTTCAATCTAGGGTTGGTATTGATCGAAACTTTAAACTAATAATTGTACCGATTTAAAACCTCAACCGTTTGTTACAAATAGATGAACACTTTCGAAATGAAGTGTTTAAGCTCATTTATTTATTTGTGCAAATTTAAAATTTTAATTGTTACAATTATTTATAAATATGCACACGATTGAACGAAAATTTCTAAATGAAATCTAAAGAAAATGGTAAGTTTCTATACGTGAAAAAGTTCAAGTTTCTATTGATATAATTATTAATTTAGTGTTCTAATATTCGTTAGTGGTGTGTTTCAGCTTGTTATAAATGGTATCAGAGTTAGACATCGGGCAATATACCAGCAAAGAAACTAGACCCCCAAGGAGTAGATTGTGAAGTCCCACATCAGTTGGAAGGGGAACGAAACATTTATAAGGGTGTGAAAATTTTTCCTTAGTAAACACATTTTAAAACCTTGAGGAAAAGCTCGAAAGGGAAAGCCAAATGCTAGTAGTATATTTGAGCTGTTATAAATGTTATCAGAGTCAGACATCAGGCGGTGTACTAGCAAGGATGTAGGACCCCAAGGAATAAATTGTGAGGTCCCACATCGATTGGAAAAGGGGACGAAACGTTCCTTATAAAGATGTAGAAACCTTTCTTTAGTGAAGGTATTTTAAAACCTTGAGGGGAAGCCCGGAAGGGAAATCCAAAAAAGGATAATATCTGCCACCGATGAATCAAACTCTACCCTGAAAACTAAAAACAAAAAAGAGAGAGAGAATGGAGAATCATTTTTGGGCATTCTATCCATTATCTAATTAAGAAATTTCGAACGTATCCCTTGACAGAACTGGGAACTTAAGGAGTATGTAATGCATATGAAACAGAGTTTAGGCATCAGAATAACACAGCAACCAACAAACTAAAATTCTTGTGAACAAGATCAGCTAATTTCAGATTCAAATGGAGAGAGGAGAGCATGTCTTATGCTACAGTCATGGACATAATCTGGCGAGCTATACCTGGATCTTGTTGCAACAGCTCCTTCAAGTTGTTCTCCACCTCCGCCTTTTGCTTCTCTAGATACTCCTTTGAGCTCTGCAAATGTGCAAAAAAACCATCTTCCATGAACCCATAATCAAAAAAAAATACCCAAATGCCATTTATCAAAGATTAAATAAGAACATTGCCAAATAGTGTAAATCACAAAAGTTCAGCCTACTCTCCAAATCTCTTGGTAACGACACCTCTACCAGTCAAATAACGTGATTCGTTCGCTTTCAATTAGATGCCAAAACAGAAAAGTAAGTTCGCTTTCAATTAGATGTCAAGAATATTGTGCGTGTATATGCCTTCCCAGATTGAGCTAAGTTCAAATTGGCAAGAAAGAATTGAAAGCCAAGAATTTTTTGTGCATGCTTGAGCTAAGTTCTAGTTGGCAAGAAAGAGGATAGCATTAATGACATCAAACTCTTCACAGAACGTAATTCGTTCAAAGAAGTGTTTGAATATGCCCAGATCCTCATAAGAAATACCCTTTTGTGTGTGTGTGGATTCTGTGTTAATGCAAGAATTAAAATTTCGAGAAAACATAGTGTAACGACCCCTATGATGATTTTAACGATGGGTCTCTAATCATGAATTGCATGTGTTTGCATTCCCTGACCCCCACTTACTGAATATTTCTTAAAATACTCAAGCCGTGTGCTACTTCTATTTCAGGTAAAGACAAGGTACCCTTGTACAGTTGACGAGGGCATCGCTAGTAGAGACTATGACACGTGCATAGGATAGTGGTATTTCATTTCTTAGACTTTAGGTTAGTATAGGGTGTTGTTACTTTTAATGTTTTACTTGTTTTATTTAGTATTTCCTTAGGTTCTTTTAAAGATGATTTCGAACCTACAAGTCCATGGCAATGTTTTACGACAATATTTTCAAGGTTTATTTTCCGTATAAGAGAGTATAGTATGATGATAGTAGCGACTTTAGGTTAGTAAAAATCTAGGGTCATTACACATAGAACATAGAAGAGCAAGAAAATGTTAGTTAGTGAATGAAAAATGCTCAAAGGAAGATTTCGTCTCTACAGATGAAAGTAATACTAATATGAACCTGCAGTGATACAATTGCAGCTTCACTATCCTTGAGCTTTTGCTCCTGTTCCGCCATTAGAACCGATTTCGGCTCTAAAACAAACCTGGTCAGGATGAGACAACACAAAGTAAGAGAATTTCATATATATACTATGAGATAAATGAAAATCTAACTTTAACTGGATCGATCAATTGTAGCATAACTCACGCTCTCCCTGCACCACAAAGAATGATGGAAAGAAATCAATGATAAGTAATCACGATTGAGGCAAAGAATGAACAAATTTCCAGTTACAAAATACAGATTTGTCAAGTACCTATCGATTTGTACGCATTGGTGTCATCGGACAACTGTTTAAGTTCCTCCAAGGTTAAAAAGGCACGCTTCTTTTCTCCCTCCTTGTTTCGTACCTGACTTTGCACCTGCAAAGCAAGGAGAAAGAACACCAGCTTGAACTCATAAATCAAGAACTCTCCATTCAAATAAAGCGAAACATCGAAGAATGACAGAACTGGAAATACGAACATTGATTGGATTCATCAGTTAACCTAGGAAACATTCGTTTACTTTAGTAATTAAACACGAATATGAATAAGAACAATCTAGACAGTAAGTACAAAAAAATTAAGTGAAAAATGAAAGGAGATTACCTGCTTCAGCTTTCCAGTAATCTCAATCATGCGACCTTGAATTTCCAAAAATGTCTGATTCCAGAAACAAAATCAAGAGTTCATGCATCGGGAAAATGGCAGAGGCGAGTGGAAAAACAAGATGAGAAGAGTGAAAAAAGTACTCACAGCTCTGTTCGCCTCGTCCGCCATTGCGAAGATTCAGAATTCAAGTAGACGATCTTTGATTACAACTCTGCGAATTACGAATATGAATGTTTGAAAATTTTTAGGGTCCGATGTAACTGTGATCTACCGGGTCGGATTTTATTTATTTATTAAATAAATATAAAAATATATTAACACTTAAATTATTTTTTAGAAAATTATAATTTAGTTTTAATCTCTCAATAAAAATTAATATTTTTAACAAAATGCCATCCAAACTTAATCTTGCTCGGTCAAAGTGGTAAAGATGTCTATTTAACCTACGAGATCATAAATGTCGAATGTCGAACCATCAATTTTGGTATCCATTAAATGATTTAAAGGCACATCAGCTTTTAAAAGATGATACTCCTCTCAACCGACTCATAGGACTGGTTCACCACTCGAAGGTCCCAATTAACCTTTGACCTTCTGTTGAATTATTGATCGTCTTGTCTATAGAACCCGACTTCTAGCATTGAAGCTGTTGTCTTCGGAGGTGAGGGTTTACCTCGAGGAGTCGAATGTGTCAACCTCCATAACAATGGTGAAGAAGTCTTCTTACCTGCACATCAAGGTAGGAAATGAGGAAGAGAGCTGTAACGACCCAGATCCACCGCTAGCAGATATTGTCCTCTTTGGGCTTTCCCTTTCGGATTCCTTTCAAAGTTTTAAAATGTGTCTGCTAGAGGAAGGTTTTCATACCCTTATAAATGGTGTTTTGTTCTCCTTCCCAACCAATATGAGACATCACAAGAGCAGACAGAGATTTCTCCTTATTAACTAAATGTGAATATAATCATATTTTCTGTCCTTGTCCCGGTTCCCTTCAGAGATTTCTACTTATTAACTAAATGTGAACATATTCATATTTTTATCGTCTTGTCCCAATTCCTTTCAATAGAAATTATTTGAAAAATGAGGAAGGGAGCCGAGAGAGATTTCTCCTTATTAGCTAAATGTTAATTTCAGGACTTTAACAATAGCGTTTTACCTCGTCATTAACTTCAGAGTGATTTTGTTTATAAATATATTATTAAAAAATATTTATTAAAGTATAAATTGTAATTACAAGGGTAAAACATATTTTTCAAAAAAAAAAAGAAAAAAATTCTCATATCAAATTCAAAGTGCCATGCTATTATTACTTAATATTCATATTTTCTATGGCGAAGGCATAGTTTTTCTTTTTTTGTCTAAAAAAAAACTCATGGGCCCCGTGCGTTATATACCCATCACCAATACATAGCAGACTTGATGACAGGGGAGCCGGCGACCGAAGCCCCGGTGAACGGCGGCCGTAACTATAACGGTCCTAAGGTAGCAAAATTCCTTGTCGGGTAAGTTCCGACCCACATGAAAGGCGTAACGATCTGTAACTTACTTTTGAACAACTCGTGAATGATAGATTTATAAAATTATCTTCTCCAGTTAAAATAAAAACTTAAATATGTAAATTAATATTGAATATATTTAATATATTAAATTACGATTTTGATAATTTTAGTTAGTATATTTTTAAAATTTTTTATTTACTTAATTTTCAGTAATTTATTCAAATTTTTATTTCTAATAAAAATAATAAGTAAATACGTAAAATAAATTTAAACTTTCAAAAATTTCAAAAATATTCTTAAAACTTAAAAAAAAAAAAAAAAAAAAAAAT